CAACAGCTGAACCTGGGAAAAGAGGTACAGGTAACCCCACCTCGCCCAGTCCAGCCGAAAGGCATCGACCCAGACAGCCTCGCTGTCGGGGATGGCCGCCGCGTGTACCGGGAGACGCCTCAACGTCCAGAGTCCCGAACGACAAGTACAGTCAATTGAAGGAGTCGGCGTCGACTGTCTACTCCTTGGATAGTGAAGGAAATGAAACAGACCGTCTGCCAGGACGTTGGACACCCCCCCAGACGTGAACCGCCAGGAGAGTTAAAGCCCGAGAACTCTGCAGACGAGCCACCCGAAGCAACCAGGCTAAAAGCCAAAGACAGCATCGAACCCCTCTCGGTTCAGGCAACGAACCACTAGGGAGCAGTCCGAAAAACAGATCACGAGCGACTCGAATCTTCCGGAGTGACATCCACACTGTCGCAATATCCCTGACCGTGCTGTGAGCCTGACGGAAGGACGGACCCCACCGCCCCTGGCGGGCCTGGTGAGCACTGGTCACAAAGCCCCAGCCAAGAGACGACGGATTAGTGAACACATCGAGTGAGGGTTTTGGTAGCTGCCAAGGCACTGTATCCCGAAAAACCCGATGAGGAAGCCACCGATACAGCAACTGACGCAAAGCTCCTGGAGGCCGAACCCAACGATCGCGAGGGAGGTGGAAGGGCCGTCCCTGAAGGAACCAGAACAGCCAACGGAGCAACACCCGACCTGGCGAGTAGACCATCATGGCAAAGTTCAGACTCCCGCACAAGCTCTCGAGCAACTACCTTGTGACCCAGGAGCCCCTCAGGAACAGACAAAGGCGGGAACATAGACGGAGCAGAGCCGTGGGAGGAAGAGACGTCCTAAACCAGACCCAACCAAGACCGAACCTGAGTGGGAACCAGATGGGACGTCCTCCATTTCACCAAGAACCCGGACCCGGAAAGCAGACATGTGGACTGGCAGGGAGCCCAAACCAGTTAGTTGTCGAGGTAGGCCAGAACCTGAACACCTAACAGATGAAGATGGGCCGCTACGACTCGAGTAAGGCGTCTGAAAATGCGAGGCACCAGATTCAACCCAAAGGGAAGACAACGAAAATGGAAACCCTGACGCCCCACAACAAAACCAAGCCAGTCCCTGAACCTTGAATAAGCCGAGACATGCCAATACGCGTCATTGAGGTCCAGGGACACCATCCAATAGAAGACGGCCCTGGGACAGAGTAGTCATCCTGAAGGAAAGGCAATAAACCCACGGGTTCAGATGGGACAGGTCCAGAATGAACCAGAAGTCCGCTCAGTCCTGTTTGGGGACCGGAAATAAGTGGGAAACCCACCTGAGAGACGACGTTGTTTCGACCCCTCGAGTGAGGAGGGACCACCCAACACCACCACAGGCCACACGAAACAACCCGAAAAGCCCACGAATCGTGGGACCAGGTGCGAACAAACAGAGCAAGCCTTCCCCCTATCGCCCCGACAATGGGACGAACCGCAAAAGGGTCGACGCACCTTAAGAGAACCTGAGCGACGGACAGGGTAATCCCCGCACCGACCAGAAAAAGGCGGAACCGAAGGAGGCGCCTGCCCCGAGTCTGGCACCACTACGCACCACTGGCCGCACCACTGGCCCACCACGACGAACGGAACCCCAAGCCCTGGCACGCCCCTTCCGGGAAGGCCCCCCCCCCCCACACGAGCCCCCCAGATCACTAACAAGTCAGACATAGGTCGACATCTAACTGAAGCCGCCTGCAGGTACTGCACCACCGAAGACTCCGCAAACAGCAAAGGATAAAAAGGCGAAGAGCCCGGGCCCAAGCGGATTCCAAAGAAGAAACCAGCACTGCCTGCCGACACACGAGGGGAGAACCATAGAACCGTGAAACTGCATCACGCAGGAGTGGCGCCAAGAGCTTCAACAAAGCAGACGACGCCTGCACTGCCCTCTGCACTGCAGAGGGCACTAGACCTAGCAGCGGCCTCAAGCGTCCCCACATCCAACTCAAGTCAATCCAAGGACAACGCAAGGAAGGAAAAGAAAAGTGGTGCGAATCAAGCTGGCCACACATACGCAAATCCTCCGCAACCAAGGCTGCAAGCTACACGTGAAGCTGAATAACTCCAACATCCCGCACAAGGGCAGGGGCGAACAAACAAGCATCGAGGTGCTAAAAGTCGTCCCCTGGAAAACCTGAAACGCCATCTGAGTCTCTCGCCAGTCAAGCGCACTTGACTGAGAGAACGTGTGCTAAGCCTCCAATGAAATGAGAAGACAGTCTGCCAACCATGACGACTCCGGAACTTCATAACGAACCCAGCACGGACAAGATGAACCGTACACGAAAGAACGCGGATCCATCACAAAAGCATAATCTGGGTCACATAGGAGGTAAGCCGCAAGGGCTTCCCATACCTCAGAAGATGGGACGTAGGAAGCCAAAAACCTCTTGAAAGATGGAACCGAGGAACCCACGGGATCACGAAACCGAACCCTGGGAGGGGTAGACACCAAATCCAATTCGTACGCAGTGGGAGAGAAAGAGAACCCCTCTCCTTGTAACACTAAGCCCCGCTCTGAGGGCAGAAAAACCCAAGCGGGTCCAATGGGCTCCAAGGCCCCCAAGTCAACCCCTCCCCAGCCCCAGAAACCTCTCCCTGAGGACTCGTGGCCGAGACGGTTTCCAAACCCCCTGCTTCTAAAGAAAAAGTGGGAGCAGCCGAAAAAGCAGGAACGAAGGGGGCCCACTGGCCAGACCCAGAAGCTCCAGCTGAAGGCCCATGCTCGGATGCCTCCGCCGCAATCCCAGAAGGTGACACCCTCGAGACCACCCAAATCTTAACACCAACTAGAACCTGCCCCAACTCCAAAACCCTCAGACGTTTCAGGGTCGGAAGCAAGGAGAAAGGTGGGAACTGGATGAACAACAGAGGGGGAAGGACCAGGAGCGGCGGACGGAACCAAGCCGAAGCGACTCCCACCCCCAAGTCCGGGTCCCTATAAGCAAAACGGGGCAGTCTTGGGGCATTAGGGGCCGCAACCAACCGAGCTCGTTGCAGCAAGGTAAATCTAGCATGCAACGCAGTAGCTGCCTTCACCCGTATATCATTATCAGTGGCTTGGGTGAACTGGAGTATGTACAAACAAAACACTTCGCACGACTCCAAAGTCAGTAGAATCACCGCCCCAACAGGCATCCTGGCGGAGGCACAACCGGTGAGTGTCACCCTGGGACAAGGGGACAGAGCAACCTTTGAACTCGTAAGACGCGAGGGGGGGTCACATACATCGGACCACATAGCCCACGTGGGGTTTCCCCAGGGCCTTTAGCCTTGGTAATATGCTAAGGGAAGCCCAGGCAGGGTACTGCGAACCGGTGCTCAAGTCTACCAAACAAACTTCTAAAGCTGAATCCGCGGGACGAGTCCACACATGGGGTCCAAGCAGGGAGTACTGCCAAAAGTAGAAAATATAGGCAATATATACACCCCTAGTACAGCAGCAAAAGGGATCAAGGCAAACCTCCCCCCCCCCCCCCACCAGGAAGAAAACTAAAACAAAAGAAAACCGCACAAGAGGACAACGTACCCTGGCAGTTGATCCGGCCACTGTTATAGGTGAAAACTAGCTGTGCTAGTTTTCACCCCACACCCCACACCCACACCCCTGCCAGTGACAAAAACCACCCCCTACCCAGAGACAAACAAGGGCAAGAAAAAAACAGCTGACAGCAAGGACGGCCAAGTACCAAGCAGTAAACGGCACAGCGGAGGCAGATCCTGAGGTGACTTGTGGATGGTGGCCCCAAGCCCCAAGGGCAGTACTTACTGGGCACCTAGGGAAGGTAACTCTAGGCGCATGGAACCCGAGTACCCTGTAATGACTCCTGGCTCCTGCACCATCTGAAAGAGACAGCCAACACCTCAAGCCACACAACTGAAACAAAAACTGGAGCCAGAGGCACGACCTGACCAGACTCCCATCAGTCAAGAACTGAAGGTTGGGTCACCGGCGGGTGGGTCTTGGACTCCCCCTTCCCCCTCCCGGAGAGGAGGGGGGGGGGGGTTGGTTGCGCAGACAGCGGCGCGGCAACGTGATGACGTCAGGCTCGTTTGCTAATTTTCGGTTGGGGAGTTCTGTCCACCTGTTCAGCTTTCGGTAGCAATAGTTTTAACAGAATAGGGGTTTGTTTTGGTGCGCCTATCTTTCTGGGTGCCTATCTCGGTCGATGACAGACATAGAATGCTCCCAACCACATGGGGGGGTCTCTATAGGCCATTGCTCCTCGGGGCTCTCTAGAAGGGGCCAGGTTCTGGCTCGTGGTCCCCGGTAGGCAAGAAATCCATGCATTGACTGATGCCAGAAAGTTAACATATCCATTCAGCCTGGATAGCTCCGAGGAACCGACCGGACTACCCCTGAAAATTACCTAAAAGTGCAACACCGGGACACTAAAGACATTCCAGAGCTTAGTCATCTCTCGTATCATGAATGGTTGCAGGCCACAGGCCAAACAATACTGCAAACCAGGCATGACAGGGAGGATTTCATTGAAACTTTTAAAATACTGAACAATTTGAAGAAAACTTTGCAGGAACAATTTGCAAAATTTCTTCTAAAAGTCAGATGTAACACAAACAAGAAGCAATGGTTACATGTTCAACAAGCCACAATGTTGGACTGAGAACATAAGTTGCTTTTTCACCAATAGGGTTGTAAACCCATGGAACTGTGTACCCACCGAAGCCATAAATGCCATGACTGTTGAATTTCAAAATCTAACTGGCAATGATTATTGAGGCAAAATTGGGGGAGGGGACCTATGATAAACCGCCGGTTTCCTGCCCTCGTCGAGGCAACTTAGTGTCAGTAGCCATCTAGTAAATTCCGGTAAAAATATATTATTAGTTATACATATAACTCTTCTCAAAGTGAACATTCTGTCAATACCTGACACTTTAGACAAAATGCAATTCAAAACCATATTATGCAATTACACATTAAGTACTTACTCTTCCTGAGTAGCTGACGGAGAGGTGAATAGCCGTCTGCTCCATCAGGTCTCCCCAGATATACAGAAGAATGGAGCTGTATGAAATCCGACGCCCGCCAGCCACCCACTGCCACGCCCTCTGCAGCAGCCACAGGATCACGCCACACACCACCACGCTCACCAGCAGCGCCACCCACAGCTCTCCTGTATGATGGTGCATGTATACAATTTTTTTTTTTTTTTTTTTTTTTTTTTGCTTGGACATCATGTGGAGTTTTTGAGCCACGTTTGAGGTGAGGAGCCTGCCGCACATAGCTCCGTAATTTGTTGTGTAGACGACCAGGAATATTAAGTCAAGTGTTTGTATGTTATTGACGCATTGTCTTTATATTTGTCAAGTTCGGATACTTGTTAAGCTTTCATTCCAAGTGAATGTCATGATAAATAATAATTGATGCCAGGACCAAAGCAACAAATGCCTGAAGACATGTCAACAAATGACATGAAGACATTATGATGTCTTATGAAGACATCATAAAAAGAAAGGTTAAACGCTATGCAACCTCTGAAGAGTCAACTAACACAACATATGTACCCCCTATTAGACTATTTTACCGGAACTTCTTTTCCACAGCTCATAAAACGGAGGAAAGGGTCCTGAAAGATATTGTTGATAGGAACGTTATCCCTACAGACAAAAATCAGAAAATACAATTGACGATTTACAATAAAACCAAAAAAACGGCCAACCTACTCATGAAAAACTCTCCAGACATAAAGCAGAACGCCTTGAAGGAAACCAACGTCGTCTATGCCTTCAAATGCCCACTAGGGGACTGTAAGCCTCAAAGAACTCAGTATATAGGCAAGACAACAACGTCTCTTTCCAGGCGATTAACAATGCATAAACAACAGGGCTCCATGAAGGAACATATAATCTCCTCTCACAACCAGACCATCACCAGAGAAATCTTAACAAACAACATAGAAATCATCGATAGATACAGCGATAGTAGGAGGAACGAGATCTGCGAGGCACTGCACATCAAAAAGTCATCAACAGCCAATTAATGCACAACTATATTCTACCCACTTCAAGACTCCGAACCAATATAGAAGCATCAAGAGGAAGTATGGGCCAATAGGCCCTCTGCAGTTACTTCCATTCTTATGTTCTCATGTCCAATTAATACCCATAGTTTCGTGTTTTGTCTTGTGTTTGTCATAAGTTTGTTAATCTCACCCAAAACTGTTGTACCATATCCACTCATCCACGAGTATGATGCGAGTATAAGTATAGACTAATTTGCGTGTTTACATGTTACAGCTGTGTGTGTAAACTTAAGTCTTTGAAAATGTAATAAGTTATTACGAAACGCGTTCAGGCGTCGCGTCAGACTAGAAATAAAATTGAATTTTGGAGAATTTATTTTTCAATTACCATCGACAGTGAAAAGAAACATAAGAAATATTGAGAAAATTCGTGTTAGAATTATTAATATTTGTAATTGAAATTGGGTAATTGAAATTAATTACAATTGATTAATTTTTAATTAATTGTTAATCAATTAAAAATTAATTAACTCTCCAAAATTCATTCTTGATTTCTGGTCTGACGCCTGAATGCATTTCGTAATGCTTATTATATTTTCAAAGACTTAGTTTACACATAAAATTTCATCATACTTATAATCGTTTCAGGAGTGGTGATATGGCACAAAAGTTTTGGGTGGGGTGACAAACAGAAGGCAGAACACGAAACAATGGGTATGAAAACATAGAAATGGAAGTAACTGCAGAAGGCCTATTGGCCCATACCTCCTCTTGCTGCTTCAAAGTTCTTTCTGGGTCTTGAAGTGGGTAGAATATAGTTGTATATAATATACATATCGTGTTAGAATTATTAATCTTACTTTTTCGGTCATATTTAATAATATATGTCTACAGGAAAGACTGCTACCAAAATATACTAATATTAAAGCGCACGACCCAGCAGCAAGGAATCAAGCCTTCACGATAAAATATCGCCAGGATCTGATTCGTGATCAGATATACAAGGCAGAGAATGAAATCAAAGACAACAAAACGCAACTACTTCATGCTACAAACGAGTGGAGAAATAGCAACATCGACGAAAATATCCGTACCTGCATTGAACAACACCTCGACATCCTCACAGACCGACATCACCTCAGCACTGAAACAAGGATTATCAAGAAACTAACAACATTATATGGAGGACCTATAGCAATTCCACGAACAAAAGATGGCTTCCTGAACCTTGCAGGAATTAACTTCACTGAGGACCAAGTCACTCTCCTAAATCTGGGCATAAACTGTCACGTTATGTCCAGGCCGAGTGGATGGCCCGGAAAGTAGAGTTGGAAATTAGACTCCACCTGCCAAAGATCATTGGGGAATATAAACCTGGATATGCGTATGGAAATGTCAAGACACACAAGCCTGGAAACCCACTTCGGCCAATCATTAGCCAGATACCCACACCCACGTACAGACTGGCGAAGCGACTCAACGGCCTGTTGACTCCTTATGTTCCTTGCGCCTTCAGCCTGAAGTCTCCAAAGGAATTTGTTGACTTACTGCGGGGCACATGGGCCACAGGGATAAGAGCCTCGTTGGACGTAGAATCGCTGTTTACCAACGTACCTGTGGACGAGACAATCGAGATGATAGCCGACAGAGTGTATCATGATCCAGCCTGTACTCCTCTTGACATACTAGAAAATATTCTGAGGAAACTACTCCAAGCTTGTACTAAAGAGGCACCCTTCTTGAGCCCGGATGGGCACATGTATAAGCAAGTAGATGGGGTCGCCATGAGTTCTCCCCTAGGTGTCCTGTTTGCAAACTTCTACATGGGTACCATCAAGCAAAAAGTCTTAGTCGACATGAACTTGAAACCGGCCATATACTGCAGGTATGTTGACGACATTTTTACACAGGTACCTGATGTCAGACATCTGCAGGAGCTGAAGGAGGCATTTGAGCAGAGTTCCGTGCTGCGTTTCACTTACGAGATGGAAAAGGATGGGAAGCTGCCCTTTCTAGATGTAACAGTCATGGAAAAGAGCGGAGGTTTCCACACTGCAGTCTACACTAAGGAAACGAACATAGGAATGTGCCTAAATGCCAACAGCGACTGCCCAGAAAGGTACAAGAGGAGTGTTGTAAACGCATATGTCGACCGTGCTCTCAGCCACAGCTCAGAATGGAAACAAGTTGACGAAGAACTCTGTAGGGTAAGGCAGGTCCTAGTCAACAACGGCTTCTCCAATGGTTTCGTCGAAGACATCATAAGAAGGAAAGTGAAACGCCATGCAACCTCTGAAGAGACAACTAACACAACACCTATACCCTTATTAGACTATTTTACAGGAACTTCTTTTCCACAGCTCATAAAACGGACGAAAGGGTCCTGAAAGATATTGTTAATAGAAACGTTATCCTACAAACAAAAATCAGAGGATACAACTGACGATTTACTATAAAACCAGAAAAACGGCCAGCCTACTCATGAGAAACTCTCCAGACACAAAGCAGAACGCTTTAAAAGAGACCAACGTCGTCTATGCCTTCAAATGCCCACTTGGGGACTGTAAGCTCCAAAAAACCCAGTATATAGGCAAGACAACATCTCTTTCCTAACATGTTTTGGTTAGGAGTAGTGCTTTTTACTCCTTTACGGATTATTTCTTTCATTATTCTTTCCTCTTTTATATGTTCACTGTGCATGGTTGATTTGTAATATAATTTTATTGGGGGTGTTGTGGTTTCTGTTCTAGGTTCTGAATTATACCAGCGGTCCAAGTGTCTTCTTATAGCAGCGTTTATTTCCGCGTTGCTATATCCGTTGTTCACCAATACCTGAGTTACTCTTTCAAACTCTCTACTCACGTTGCTCCATTCAGAGCAGTGGGTAAGCGCTCGACGAATATAAGCATTGAGAACACTGGCTTTGTATCTTTGGGGGCACTCACTTCTACCGTTCAGGCATAATCCTATGTTGGTGGGCTTGGTATATACGTTGGTGCTTAAAGAGGTTCCTGTTTTTGTTATTAGTACGTCCAAGAATGGCAGACTGTTATTTTCACTATTTTCATGTGTAAATCGGAGTACTGACTCTCTCTCTAGGTGTCTTTTTAGGTCAATTAGTTCATCTGAGTCTTTTACTATTACGAATATGTCATCTACATAACGGCAGTATACAGTTGGTTTTTGTCTGCTACTGAAGACCCTATCTTCGATGGTTCCCATATAAAAATTAGCAAATAAAACTCCTAAGGGGGAGCCCATTGCTACTCCGTCTATTTGTAAATACCCAAATCACGGAAAATTTGTGAACACCCAAATGATTTGCGAATCAATTGTGAACACCCAAATCACGGAACTATTTACTCTACCCACCATGAGAGTAAGGACAAGACAAGAACATATCGATGCCAACACAGAAGACAATGTCCAACATAACAGGCCAATTACACTGGATTAATCTTTGTGTTTAGATAGGAGATGCCTCGTATGGGCCAATAAGCCTTCTGCAGCCCCTATGTTTATCCCTTATGTATCCCCCCATGTTTTCGCCTTAATTGTATTATCACCTGACCTAATGCGGGTATAAAATCAACTAGTATTGTAAGATCTGTTCACTTGAGAATGAACCATGGAGGTTCGAAACGTCGTGCAAATTATACAAATAAGTGTAATACACTCTATAGTAAATCACTTCTTTTCTTCACCTTAAAAGTACGAAAATGAGTTTTGGAGAACTCCTATTTCAATTAAGCCCTGATGCTAAGAAAATAGTTAGAGGGATAGAAGCCCTAAACCAGAAAATAATAAATACAGAATATGCGGTCATATTCAATGAAACATGTTTGAAAGAAAACCTGCTGCCAGTATACACCAATATATATATATATATATATATATATATATATATATATATATATATATATATATATATATATATGTCGTACCTAGAAGCCAGAACGCACTCCTCAGCCTACTATGCAAGGCCCGATTTGCCTAATAAGCCAAGTTTTCATGAATTAATTGTTTTTCGACTACCTAACCTAGACTAACCTAACTTTTTCGACTACCTAACCTAACCTAACCTATAAAGATAGGTTAGGTTAGGTTAGGTAGGGTTGGTTAGGTTCGGTCATATATCTACGTTCATTTTAATTCAAATAAAAAAAAATTGACCTCATACATAATAAAATAGGTAGCTTTATCATTTCATAAGAAAAAAATTAGAGAAAAAATATTAATTGAGGAAAACTTGGCTTTTTAGGTAAATCGGGCCTTGCATAGTAGGCTGAGAAGTGCATTCTGGCTACTAGGTACGACATATATATATATATATATATATATATATGTCGTACCTAATAGCCAGAACGCACTTCTCAGCCTACTATTCAAGGCCCGATTTGCCTAATAAGCCAAGTTTTCATGAATTAATGTTTTTTCGTCAACCTAACCTACCTAACCTAACCTAACCTAGCTTTTTTGGCTACCTAACCTAACCTTACCTATAAATATAGGTTAGGTTAGGTTAGGTAGGGTTGGTTAGGTTCGGTCATATATCTACGTTAATTTTAACTCCAATAAAAAAAAATTGACCTCATACATAGAGAAAAGGGTTGCTTTATCATTTCATAAGAAAAAATTATAGTAAATATATTAATTCAGGAAAACTTGGCTTATTAGGCAAATCGGGCCTTGAATAGTAGGCTGAAAAGTGAGTTCTGGCTACTAGGTACGACATATATATATATATATATATATATATATATATATATATATATATATATATATATATATATATATATATATATATATATATATATATATATATATATATATATATATATATATATATATATATATATGAATAGTAGGCTGAAAAGTGAGTTCTGGCTACTAGGTACGACATATATATATATATATATATATATATATATATATATATATATATATATATATATATATATATATATATATGTCGTACCTAGTAGCCAGAACGCACTTCTCAGCCTACTATTCAACGCCCGATTTGCCTAATAAGCCAAGTTTTCCTGAATTAATATATTTTCTCTAATTTTTTTCTTATGAAATGATAAAGCTACCCATTTCATTATGTATGAGGTCAATTTTTTTTTATTGGAGTTAAAATTAACGTAGATATATGACCGAACCTAACCAACCCTACCTAACCTAACCTAACCTATCTTTATAGGTTAGGTTAGGTTAGGTGGCCGTAAAAGTTAGGTTAGGTTAGGTAGGTTAGGTAGTCGAAAAACAATTAATTCATGAAAACTTGGCTTATTAGGCAAATCGGGCCTTGAATAGTAGGCAGAGAAGTGCGTTCTGGCTACTAGGTACGACATATATATATATATATATATATATATATATATATATATATATATATATATATATATATATATATATATATATATATATATATATATATCATAATTAAGTTAATCGGGCAGTATTTTCATGAATGTTCATTCGAGCCTTGAAGGTGTGCAATCCTGAGTTTTTTATGAAGAGATTACTAAACTAAATGAAATTGGGAAGTTGCTACAATACCTTAAGACGTTTTTGGATATCTCGTTCGGGCAAGATGAACGTACTTTTTATAATTATATCTCCAAAGCAAAAACGGAAATTAGAATCTCATTAGTGGTACCTTATGTGGTATGACTAGAAAAAATGTCACAAGTTCTTACGAACCTTAATATCATTCTGGTGTTCAATAATAATACGATTAAGTCAAATTTAATAAAAATAATCCCCGGCTACAGTAGGCTGTGTGTATTCGATCCCCTGAAATGATTTTGAGTCTCTGAACCTTGGGTAAACTTGAAAAACCTAAAATTTGCGTTGATCCCAACACGCTTATGGGATTAGAACTGCCCAAACATCTAGCACTTTGTATCTACACACAAGTTTGTTTGATCAATTGATCATGATATTAATTGTGGGAGGAGTGAAAATCATTACCAGTTGCAGCAGTTTTGTTGAATGGAATTTGATTGAGTCTTCCCTAATCAGTCAGTGGCCAAATCTTCTCAATGTTAGTACTGGTATGTATAAACTAGACTCATTAAAGCTTCAATATACTCAACAGTTTACGAAAAATACTTTGATTTGATGTGTTGCCTTATTGGAATACTTCACACTCTGGTAATTTGCACTGTATTGAAATCTTTAGATAATATTCCTCAGTTCTGAATATAGGCGGCTTTTGCAGCTAGTATTATCATCAAGACCCATTACTTTAGGGCATCTTGTAATTTCTATGAAGTTTACCATAGTGCTATATCTCCAGTCCTTGTTTCTGGCTACATCTCTACTTGGGGGATGGTTGGTCAGGTGAAATACGTTGGCCTCTACCCTCTCTCTGCTTCCCATAGCCAGTCTTATGTTGAGAAAGGCTGTAGCCAGCCGAGACGTTCAACATTCCCTTTCCATTTCTCTTTGGCTTTTTTTGCATATACTGTAGTGTTAAACATTTATTAAGAACAGTTGTAGTTTGATCCTTGAAAAATATGTCTATTGACATTAGTTGTAGTTTAAGGATTTACGTAATATAGCTACTTGTTTGCTATGATATACACCTCAATACTCTTAAAATGGTAAGGTTCAAGAAATTAAGAACTTTCATATATGGATTAAAATCACATGAAACAAACTAACAACATATAATTAATGTTTTTTTTCATTTATTAAATTTAATACCTGTAAATGGCCTTATCAGCGACAGGTTTTTTGGCAGAAGCGAAGGTTTTAGAGAGGTGAGCGTCATGAGATCAGAGGGGTAACCTCTGAGGAAGTCTACAACCCTGAGGCGCTCTGGTGACGGCCCGGCTGCCGCACACAAGTCGGTCTCCTCACGCTGGAGTTGACCCATCATCCCGGTGAAGACGCCGTTCTCCAGTAACCCCCACGACAGTTCGTGCTCCTCCCGAATCTCAAACCTGTTTGATGACATAATTCACCATACTTCATTATTCTTGGTTTCAGATAATTACATAAACTGATCCACATATTAATGATGATATCTCATACACACAGAAATTACAACAATCTATATATATAAAAATATAAATGTTTCATTTGTTCAAAATCGCTAATCACCGAAAGTTCTTCTCCGATTGCTTTGAAATTTTCACAGAACGTTTTTCATGTGAGTTTTCATGTGAGGGAAATCTCCAAAACCTCTTTACGGATTGCTCTGAAATTTTGACACAAAGTTACATTCGAATACGTGCATGTTTTATATACCTACTATATACATGCCACATCAGTGACAGGTAAAGATATTTTTTTTTAAACACCGCTATCTGTTGGATGTAAGAGTAACACACGCTGTAATATCCAAAAGTTCTTCACAGATTGTTTTGAAATTTTGACACAACGTTCCTTTTCAAGTACGTGTATGTTTTTATATACCTACTATATACATGTAACACCTGTGACAGGTAAAAACATGTAAAAAAAAACAGCGCCATCTGTTGCACGTAAAAGCAACTCAAGATATATTAAATATGATACGAACATTCATTTCAATGTTTCCGATTGCATTGATAAATTAAATTTTCATAGATTTGAATTTATTTTCATTTTGATTTAATTGTTCTGTGAGACATTGCGTTGCAATTGTGCCGAGTGTTTTACCATACCGTTCATTTTCTGAGTATAGTTTTTTTCATTAGTTTTCATTTATTTTTTTTAACTGTTCGTCTTATTTTTCAGTGATGGGAGCATCAGATCATTTGATGTTCCCATTTTTCTGATAGGAACATCAGATCATTTGGGATCGCATCGGACGAGGGAGTGGTTACGGCGAGGGGATGGGAGTAGGAGGTGATGAAAAGAACGAGGGGAGGGCGGGGGAGGGAGTAATGATTGAGGGACAGGTGAATGGGGGATGGTGGGGACGAGGGGACAGGGGAGTGGAGAATGGTGGGGAGGACAAGGTGAAGGTGGAGTGGGAGATGGAGGGGGAGGAAGAGGGGATGAGAGAGGGTGAATGACGGGGAAGACGAGGGGACGGGGGATGGTAGGAAGGACGAGTGGACGGGGGAGTGGGGAAATAGTGGGTAGGACGAAGGGGCCAGGGGTGTGGGGGATAGTGGAGAGGATGAGGGGATGGGGCAGTGTGGAATGGTAGGGAGGATGGGGGAAAAGGGGAGAGTTGCTGTAGCTCAGCAACACGTATTCATTGCTGAGCCACAGCAAAGCGTGGCCGGGTACAGCTAGTAGACAATATTCTTCAAATAGTTTCATGTTGATCTGTATTATATATAAAAATAAGGTGATGACTCTTACGTGAAATTAAGCACATTTGCGAATGTGTGAATCAGCCTAGAGTCAACTGTATCCTTAGGCGAGATTACACCCCCTGGCCCTTCTGTGCTGCGATCGAAGTCCATATAGGGGAAGTGAGGTACTGCCACCACACTCAGCTTGTGTCCCATCATTGTATTCAGCTGTTCTGTTAAAATAATATATGTTCACATCTCAGTGTGTAACAGGTGCATACATAAGTTTCACAGATTCTAGAGAAGCTCTTTAGAAAAAAATTCTCAAATAAATTCTGAAGCATTGTTAACATATGCAATCTAATTTTTCCAAATTAATTGAGGAAATATATAAAAAAACTAACGTTGGAAAACCTTTATATAAATCGAACCACATAAAAAATTATAATTTCAAAGTATTTACAAATTATCAAACTTCAATGGCAAGTAAAGTTAGTTGTACTGGATTATATTACATGCTCTAAAATTAAGTTTGGCTGGGTTAGGTTAGGTTAGGTTACCTTAGGTTATACTGTATTCAAAAGAGTAAGGCATAAAATATCGAGGTTCCAACCAGTAAGAGTACAATTAATCAAAATATTTGTTACCATTAAAGAGAGCGTGAATGTCCTGGGCGATAGACTGGACCATCCAGTTCCCGATGACCTGGATGTTTGCCTCTCCATCACCACAGTACATGCACCGCCGGTACACCCACACATCACCATTCCTTCGAGCTATTAAAAAAAAGAGAATACTGTACACATATAACAGTAACCACAAAGATATAACTAACCATCACACTTAATTGTAAAGAAACGAAATATCCTAGTGTCTTTTTGCTGTAAATAATTAACACAATATCGGCCAGATCAGGCACACAGTCCCTCTGCTATGAACAGTTACATCCTGAAAATGTGTTCGTGTAGCAGTTGTTTCGAACGTGAAATGAGATTTCCTATAGCCACAATGCTATAAATAGGGTGGGTGTCCCTAGACCACTAAAAAATCTCACAAAACCAAAATATTTGGGACATTTAATATAAAATATGCAGAATATTTATGACCTTGCATCATGGAATTGTACTTCTTGTTAGAGTCGGCTGTTTTCAAAGAGTGAAGAGGTAACTACACGAAGAAATAATGGGAAATACATGTGTGTTCTGTATTTTAAGTAATTTGTAATTCGTCTCAGGAGAAAACACCTTCACCCTCCGTCCATCACCCTCCTTCTCAGACCTCACCCAACAGAGTAAACTCAATCTGGTCCTGTTTTCATCGATGTCTACGTGAGAACCAAAGACAACACTTCCACCACAGAAGTTGATACTAAACCTACCAACATTGGAATGTGTATCAATTGTCACTCCCTAATGTCCAGACAGATATAAGACAATTGTAGAGACGCATTTGTATACAGATCCCTTACTTGTTCTTCCAACTGAAGTAAAATACACAGTGAACTGAAGAGTACCTTAAATATTAATAATGAACGGTGCTCGAACAGAGAAGTCAACTCCAATATCAAAAGATATTTAGAAAAATGGTATAACAGAGAACAACAGCTGCAACAGCAAATAATCCCTCATACAAATCTTTATTACAAATCCACTATGAGTTCACAATACAAAACCGAAGAAAGAATAATTAAATGTATAATTTCAAATGGTGTGAAACCGACCGATCCAGACCAAAGATTGGAATTTACATTTTACTACAAAACAAAACGGAATGATGATTTAATAATTAGGAACAGCCCCAATAAACAATACAACACTCTCTAAAAAGCAAACATTGTATACCAATTTATATGCCCCAATGAAGGATGTCACCATTGATCTACTTACATTGGTATGACTACCACACAGCTTTCGAGAAAACTGACCTGCCATATACAAGCTAGTGACACTAGAAACTATGTGCAAAGTGTACATAACACAACACTCGCTACGAACATGCTAGTAGAAAATACAACAATCCTGGTATCCACTGCTGACCAGAGAAAACTACAAATACTCGAAGCTATAATCATAAACAAAAAAAAAACACCCTAAATATACAGAGCAACAATTTCGATACCTTGCCTACGCTCAGACCCAGACCTCACCATACAGCACAGGATAACGATATCTCTACCGAGTTCTTCCCGCCCACTGCCTTACTCAGTCCTTGATTGGCATCCATCCCCATTATTACGCAATTTCTTTACCTATGTGGGATATTTCTCCACCTTTTTTCTACTCAATCTTAACAACATTAGTTAAATTGCTTACGCACCAAGAAGATACAACTTTTGCTGTTTTGTTACTTGCCAATTATAACTTGTAAACTAAATATAATTTAAAGTCAAAGAACTGTTGTTAATTCTTCCTTAATTTTTTTAGAATTTTCTATACCACATCGAAAGCTCTGTATTTTTTGACAGAAGGAATTTGTGTCTCTTAAGCAATTAATTATTGACAGTAGTCTGAAGACTACTTAATGCATAAACCACCTTAATAAAGTGAAATTTAAAAGACTCTAAAGAGAGCTAATTAATATTTATATCTTCTGGGAACTCAATGAATAATTATCGTTGCTTGGTACAAGGCACAAAAGCACCTTCCCATGGGAGGAATTTCCACCATGATGCTCTTCTGGATGAGGAGCATCCGGTTCGGGATTTGTGACTGCACACTCCAGAAGGATTCGAACCCAGACAGCCAGGAGCATTATGCACCTTGGCGTATCTGGTACCTTAGCCACTAGACCACAACTAACAGTTCAAAAATGTTGGAAGTCGGGAGACTATTTACCCAACATCCGACAGCGCTCGGAGGTTAACTTGGGCATAGATATTTCATTGAATCACCTCACTTTTTTGGGGCCAAATCAGCAACACAAATGCGATCAGGCATGAATGGATCCCAAGCCAATATGCAACTGAAAACTCCACACCCCAGAGGGATTCGAACCCAGACAACCAGGAGCTCTATGCACCTTAGTGTGTCCAGAACTTTAACTATTGGGCTACACTGACTGTTCAAAAAGCATTGGAAGTCGTCTGACTCTTAACCCAATTCCCGACAACACCCAGTGATCTTTTTGGGCACAGATATTTCATTAAATCAGCTCTCATGCTGAGGCCACGTGAGCAACATTTGTGTAGCAAGGCTTGAAAATTAAATATATGCGTATTCATCTGTATATGTAGTGAGGTGAATTGGATTAGTGTCTGGTATATCAGCTAAGAATGTTGGGAAAAGGGTTGGACATAGAATGGAACGTTCTGGGTTATTCTTTGTAATTTGGATCTCTGAAAAGCAAAAATTCTACATTGTATGTAGACCTTTGAGGTTCTATTTGTGAGGAAGGATCTTACCCATGAGAGTAACTTTCCTTGTATGCCAAACCGTTTGAGCTTACCTAGTAGGCTGATTTGAGGAATGCTGACAAAAGCCCCTTTAAAGTCTAGGCAAATGACAATTCTTACATTTACCTACCTTCCCCTGTGTGGGGCTTCCCGAGGCGTGAGGCAGGGTGTGGTGGAGGGGTGAGGGAGGTGTGGTGGTGGAGGGCGAGGTAGAGGGCGTGGAGGGTGTTGCGGAGACTGTGGTGGAGGAGCACCTCCCTCACCCCCGCCCTCCCGCCCACGGCCACCACCACCGTATCTGACTTCTTTCTCAATCCAGCTGTCTCTGACAACCTATTTAATGGCATTACTGCATCAAATTAGTTCCACAAGCTAATGTTGTATGTAAATCCAATGTAAATAGATGAGTTTATATTATATATTCAGAAACTATTTGTATGTTTATTATTTATTTACTTTATTTATTTATACACATATTGTGTTATCTATGCTAATGTTTAGAAACCTTTTTAAACGTATCAATGTCACTTAGTAATAACATTTCTGATGATAAAAGACGACGTCGTCTTTTCTTCTTCTAGTGTGTTGGTTCTGTCCACATAAAGTTTATATTTACAACTCATATGAAAAACCTGTATATAGTCATAGGCAGCATACGTGTTGATTAGTCATGGGTAGCTACCCGTCGATTTGTCATGGGTAGCCTACCCGTCGATTTGTCATGGGTAGCCTACCCGTCGATTTGTCATGGGTAGCCTACCCGTCGATTAGTCATGGGCAGCATACCCGTCGATTAGTCATGGGCAGCATACCCGTCGATTAGTCACGTGATGGATTGATCTAATGTTGTGTTTAAGACTTATTAACCGTCGGGATGGTTATTATAGCCACCACAGGAAGAGAAGGGAACTATCAGGGGGGAAAGCGCCAAGCCATTACGACTATATAGCACTTGGAAGGGGTCAGGATAAGGATTTGGGATGGGACAGGGGGAAAGGAATGGCGCCCAATCACTTAGACGGTCGGGGATTGAACGCCCCGACAGTTAATATATAGTTAATTAACCAACTAACATGTATACATTAACCCTGAATATAGTCTAGATCAAAAGCAAACTCTAAGTGTAAATATACCGAGATGCGGCTTACACCTCTCGATGTGTATATCCCCTTTTGATGCCTGTAACCTTCATTATCTTAAAATATACTATTTTCTAAAAAAAAAAGTCGAGAACATATAGCAGCAGCACCATATTTCACTTTCCTAACTACACAATAAACTTTGAACTAGCTCAACAAACAATGACCAACATTTACGAACAAACGGCATTTAAGCCCAGGATGACTGCAAGCACAAGGGGGGTAAACACAACACTTTACGTTATCCCAATCAGCCATAATTTTCCATCTCCGAGAATGCATCGTATTTTTAAAGTAATAAATTAATCCTCGAGAAATGGGGTTAGTTACAAATTATTGCTCTTTTTTGTTAGCGTTCTTTATTATTGAACACGACAGGTTAGGTAGGTTGATCAGCTTTAATCGTTTCTGGTTATGCATAAACATTATATATTTTAGTTAGGCAAAACCATCATAAATTTTATATTATATAAAACCATTATATATATATATAGTGTCAGTAAGAATTAACAGAGGTTGCTTCTTAAACCATACATATGATTACCTGAGGACGACCTCAGAATCATTGGTGGAGGTGAGGTCGAGGATGAGTCCCCGGCAGGTGGTCGTGGCGTCTCCCCACAGCTGCTGGAGGAGATGGTCCCGGGCCAGGTGGTCCTGTGCCAGGTGGTCCCACGCCAGGTGGTCCCAGGCCAGGTGGTCCTGGGCCAGGTGGTCCTGGGCCAGGTGGTCCCGGGCCAGGTGGTCCCGGGCCAGGTGGTCCCGGGCCAGGTGGTCCTGGGCCAGGTGATCCTGGGCCAGGTGGTCCTGGGAGACCACTGACCCCGCCTCCACTACCACACAAGCCACTCCTCCAACACTCAGGTGCCTGTGAGGAAGACCATTGTTTAATTTTCGTACAATAGCTTCAAAACTGACAAAGAAAACGCACTACTTTGGAAACTTCAAAGGAAATTAAGAATTGTTTGCGCATAAACCTGTATTTTTTAGCTTCTTAGCTGAAAATTATTTAGAAAAATAAAATATTATTAAAAGAAATTATACCTGTATAGAATGTTAAAATATATAAATAAAACATGAGATCAGTTCACCTGATTATACTAGAGGTGATGGGCGAGTGTCGCGCAGCTGTGATGAGCACCAGGTGACAGTCGCTGAGATGATACTTCACCACCTGACCCACCACCTCGCCCACCTGACCCACCACCTCGCCCACCTGACCCACCACCTCGCCCACCTGACCCACCACCTCGCCCACCTGACCCACCACCTCGCCCACCTGACCCACCACCTCGCCCACCTGACCCACCTTCTGGTCCTCCTCCTTCACATGTTCGCCAACTTCTTGACTGAGTATCGTGGTACTGCTCATCACCATCATCGCCGCCATCACTGCACAGTGATGTCCCAGTAACACCATCCAGGCCTTGAATCTCAGAATATATATATATATTTATATATATATATATATATATATATATATATATATATATATATATATATATATATATATATATATATATATATATATATATATATTTTTTCCTAGAAGGGGTACCACCTCTGGTGCAAATGTAGGGACCCATAGCCTCGGAGAAGAAAATAAAGAGTACTCAGAGAAGACCTTGTGGATCCTCACTGAACACTTTGATATTTTCTTCTCCTACCACCCCTATTCTTTTGTTAAGTGTGTATATTTATCTAACTTTATTTGAAAATGTCATTACACAAAAAAAATTACAATATTGATTACATACAGGGTACAAGGCTGCTTGTCACAAGTTGAATAGCTCCTCCAGCTCCTCAGATGGCGGGCAGGAACCATGGATGCAGTGTGCATTTCCTCTCTGGATTGCCACACTAAGGCGCTGAAAAAGAAAACTGGCAGCTCTGGGGTCTCTAGTTGTTTCGATTAGCTTAGACCCCAACTCCTTTAAAAAGCTAGCAGCACTTTTACCCCAGGCACCAAGTGTCTCTGAGGCAATGGGGACAAAATTGTAGTGGTGCTCAAGGTCTCTGTATTTACGTGACTTGGCCGCTTCCCGGTGATTGGCAGCTCCTCCTGCTTGTGTAGCACTGAAGTCAACATAGGTATTGGCTAAAGTTGAAACGCAAGTGTAGTCCCACACCAACTGTCTACCATTCTTCCAGGGGTTCACCGTAATTCCGTCTGGGCGACCGACAGGCTCATCAGAGTTGCGGGACATTAGGTAACGGGGCTCTCTCTCTGCTGGACAACCGGCTGTGGTAAGGCTTCTCTTAATAATGTCATTAACCTCGCCGTGTCTTGCATGCCATCCTCCCGTCCTTTGGCAAAGAAGGCCATGCCGTCCATATCTGTCGGCCTCTGCCTCGCCGCAAATACACCTGTATTCGGTGTGGATTGGGGCAGCTAGGCGGAGAGCCACGGCAATTCGGAGGGCCTGCGGTGTGAGACGGGTGCCGGTTGCTGACATTGGGATTGCTAATAGGAAATCACCTGCATGGGGAGCTGCTACAGCTCTAAGTCGGGCAGTGTCATGTGGTGTCGTCGCAGCTTCTAGCAAAGTTGCAGCTTCTTGGTCGGCAATGGGGCGATCCCAGCTGGATTGCTTATGGGCTTCATAAGGTGGTGGTTGGGGTGCTGGTCCTGCGAGAGAGACCCATTTGGTTGTGCAGTCTGTGAAGCTGGGATCATGCACCCCTGCCTGTTGAACTAGGTGCTCAGGTAGGATTTCCTTCACCAGGTTGTCAGACCCCACTGAAGAGGACAGGAATGCTGGTACAGCAATTTGTGTTGCTGTGCGCACGCCAAGGCCCCCGAGTCTGACAGGAAGGGAGGCCTGTTTCCACTGTGAGTCGTTGAGGGAAAGATTGAGGGCTTTTCTAGTGTTGATTTCAGCAAGCTGTCATACTCTTCTAATTTAATATTGTTGAAAGATGGCGAACATCTTAGAAAGTAGGTCAGCCTGGGAAGGGACAAGCATCTGGTGATGAGGTAAAGCTCATCATGAGCATCGATGTCTTCAATCCTCTCGTTCATCCTCTTCAGGTCAGTTCCTGAGTTCAGGTTCCTGAGTTCAGGAGTTCTCGTTCAGGTCATCCTCTTCAGGTATATATATATATATATATATATATATATATATATATATATATATATATATATATATATATATATATATATATATATATATATATATATATATATATATATATATATATATATATATATATATATATATATATATATATGACAATGTCAGACAGACCACGGAGGAAAAATGAAACAGGAATTTCCTTAAGTACTTTCGTATATTAATACATCTTCAGAAGGAGTGACTCCTTCTGAAGATGTATTAATATACGAAAGTACTTAAGGAAATTCCTGTTTCATTTTTCCTCCGTGGTCTGACATTGCCACATTTTTAATCACTTGTTTATTTTCGTGATATACACACACACACACACATATATATATATATATATATATACCTAGCTTTTTTTGGCTATATATACCTATATATATATATATATATATATATCTATATATATATATATATATATATATATATATATCGAGTATCGTGGTACTGCTCGGGCTAAAAAAACAGTGTAATAAAAAAATAAAAAAATAAATATTATTGTAATAAAATAAATATTAATGTAATATTGTAATATATACTGTAATAAATATTGAGTAGTTAATAATACTGTAATAAATATTGTAATAAATATTGTAAAAAAATAAATATTAATGTAATAAAAAAAATAGTTTAATAAAAAATACGGGCTACCGGGGAGGGAGGACGTGTGGAGGAGGCTCTGTTGTTTACTGAGCCATTACCTAGGGACATCCTGACGTGACCGTGCCTAGCCTTCACAGAGTGCTGTGTGAATGTTCTGGGAAGGTGCAGGAGTGGCGGAAGGTGCCCAGAGTGAACCATCTCAACAAAAACGGATGAAAACAGGTGGGTGTGCAGTGTATGGAATACAACGGCAGTGAGGGCCACGCTGGCGCCCTCTAGGCCTCCCAGGCTAAGGTGTGGGGGAGGAGGGGGTGTTGTTGTTCGGTCTGGCGAGAGGGGGGGGTCACCCATGTGCCACCCAGTGTTTATAGAAATACCTTTGGGAAAGAAAAATGAAAATTAAAATCAGCAATCATGGTCAGAGCTAATAGAGCTCACAGTGTGTCGGATTACAAGTGTATGATTCATTCACCATTGTGCAGTGATATACAAGAAAATTATACCAGTGTTAAGTGTCACCCAGACCCCCCCCCCCCTCAAGCTGAGCGAGGCCCGGTCAACCACCACCTCCTCCCCGCCCGCCTGCCTGACCGCACCGCAGTACCTCCTGCCATCCCACCACCCAGCCCACCCTGCGCCTGGGTGTCTCCCACCCACCTATTCACTGTGTTTGTTGCAGGGATGTGCTACCCTCCATGCACCCAGATATGGCACAGGTCACAGCAGGCATTCAGGTTCCTCCCAAAAGGGAGGGAGACACAAGTACTCATACGAGTGGTGAGTGTGAGGGACAGCTAGCCACCCCTCCTGCCACCACCCGTGTCCACCCCTGCCGCCACCACCCCTCTCATCCCATTCAGACCCATTGCCGTGGGTAACACACTTCGGCGCTTTGTTGCTAGGGCAGCTGTCAGAAAAATTAGCATAGACGCTGCGACGATGCTTCGACCCCATCAACTAGGTTTTGGTGTCCCCCATGGCTGTGAAGCAGCAGCTCATGCAGCACGAGCCTATATCAAGCACCTCCCAGAAAATAAGGCATTAATTAAATTAGACTTTAAAAATGTTTTCAACCAGGTAAAAAGGGATGTGGTACTGGAAGCAGTTCGATCAAGCTTTCCTTCTCTACTCCCCTTCGTCTCAGCAGGGTACAGTAGGGAATCGACGCTGCTGTTTGGGGAACATGAAGTTGTTTCTACAGAAGGTGTCCAGCAGGGAGACCCACTTGCCCCCCTTTTCTTTTTTGCATGGCTGTTAAAGAGGTCACAAGCAGGTTGACCGGCGAACTCAACATCTGGTTCCTGGACGATGGCACCCTGGCAGGGACACAGGAGTCCCTGCTAGAAGATCTACAGCTGGTGAAATCTAAGGGAGAGGAGTTAGGACTCACCCTAAACCCATTAAAGTGTGAAATCATCTCATCTAGCCAACCAACCATAGATGCAGTGCGAACCATATTGCCAGGAGCCCAAGTGATCGCTCCCACCGACAGTGTGCTGCTAGGGGCACCTCTGGGCTCGAGCGCCATTGAGGTAGTCCTCGAAGAAAAGCTGAACGACCTGAGGAGGATGGAGGGAAGAATAGGGGCTTTGGACGCCCACGATGCTTTGTACCTTCTCACAAGGTGCCTGGCTTTGCCCAGACTGACCTATTTCCTAAGGTGTGCTCCCTCCTTCGACAGCCCAAAATTAACAGAATATGACACACTCCTAAGGTCAATAACCGTGAAAGTGTTAAACCTCTCCCTGCAAGATGACCAATGGGACCAAGCAACGCTCCCAGTTAGACTCGGGGGAATAGGTATTCGCAAGGCGACACAGTTAGCATTGCCAGCATTCTTATCCTCGACCAGTGCAACAGGTGAATTAGTTAAGGAAATACTACCGGAACACCTAACAGACTCCATTGGGATTCATGATCCCAAATTCGCGGAAGGAGCCGGTCAGTGGGACACTCTCGTCAACTCTCATCCTCGACCGACTTTTCCAAATGACTGCAAACAGTCCAAATGGGATAGCCCCATAGTGGAGAACATCGCCACATCATTGCTGGAGGCAGCTTCCAGGAAGGACAAAGCGCGTCTTCTAGCTGTGCAAGCGCCCCATGCCGGGGAATTCCTGGTGGCAGTCCCTAATTCCGCCTTGGGCACCCGCCTGGACCATCGGACCCTAAGTATTGGTGTTGCTCTGCACCTTGCCGCCCCTATCTCCACCGAGCACCGGTGTATTTGCGGCCATGCACGGGCAGACCAATACGGCAGCCATGGTCTCATCTGTCGTAAGACACAGGGAAAGATTGCCAGACATGAAGCAGTCAATGATATCATCAAGAGAAGTTTGGCTTCAGCTGGATGCCCAGCACAAAGGGAACCTCAGTTGTGCAGACCTGACAAGAGCCAAAAACGCCCAGATGGAGTCACCCTGCAGCCGTGGAGGGAAGGTAAACAGGTCGTGTGGGACTACACGTGTGCATCCACATTGGCTGATATCTATCTACCTTACAGCGCAGCTGAGGGAGGCGGGGCGGCCACCTTCAGGGAGACCCAGAAAACTAACAAGTACAGGGACCTAGAACGTTGTTACAGGTTCGTGCCAATAGGCTCTGAGACTCTAGGCGCCAGGGGTAAATGTGCACTTAAGTTCCTGAAGGAGCTGGGCGAGGAACT